ACACCGTAGTAGATCTCATTGGTAGAATTGATTTATACATAGGAAGATGCTGTCAGATACTAGCTACAAGACACTGGAAGCCATAGGTCTTCATTTTGTTCGGTTAAAAACTTATAAAAGAAATGACCGCGGACACTGTTCATTCGGACAGATACACTTTTTTTTCTACTGTTAAATATTATTATCATTCCGAATCAATGGTCATTGGTATATATACTACTGCGATTAATCATATTTTTCTGTAAGGTTTCTTATTATCTGTTTATTTTCATGTTCTCCAGCTTCTTCTAGCGACAGTACTCTTTAAGGGCCTAATTATTTATGCTAAAAAGAATCTATATTTTTTTGTATAAAACATCTCACAAACAAATAACAACGACAGCGATATTGTTGTTAAATTATTCTTTTTCCAGTATCGTCTGTTTCTCTCTGATTTTTGATATTGAATGTTGTAACAACTAAAGTTTTTCGGTTTAATTAAAACTGAAGCTGAAACGATAAACAAAGTTTACTTATTTTCTTCATTTGACTACAAATTAATAAATTGATGATTGAGTGATCATATAGAATAGATCTTTATCTGTACTAGTGATATGACAGAATGCATTTATTAGAAAACGTTGCGATAATTGCGGTTCACTATAAAACTATTCTAGACATTTAAAACCAAAGAATAAGCGACAAACAAAGAAATTCTTCTTCGCATGAGTTAAAGAAAATTCCATATACATTTTAGATAGAAGAGCAAGAAAGTTAGTGAGACCAAGAAAATTTATTTCTGAAAAATCAAGCATAACAAAACAGCAAAAATAGTATGAAAATCGATTTTCTACACGTGTCTAAATACAAATTTTATAGTTCAAGCAGGATAAGATTTATGAGAAATGGATTGGTAAGTAAATGATTGCTAGTTATTTTTCTGTTATTGAGTTTTTCCTGCAGTGAATGTGAAAATGTGTTTAATTAATATTAAAAATTTTCTCTCTGTTGTTCAAATTCCTAGATCTCTCACATATATTTTCCTTCTTCGTTTATCAAAAAGTCCTGTCTATTGCTTGTCTGTATTACGTAAAATATTCGCAAGAACACTTCAGAAATGTCAACAAATAATAAATTTGACTATGTGATGTTTAATTGTAAAAAAAAGTCTTTTTGTACTTGTTTGGTTTGACACACCATAATTAAAACATAACTTGTGATGAATTATTAAACAAGTGTTGTAGTTAAAATCGAGATTTGATCAGCTAAACTCGAAATTATCTACTAAAACATGAGTTTTCTGTAATAATGAAATCTTCAAATATGCATAGAGAAATTGTACAAAAATTCCATACTTAGTAGAATCATGAAAACTTCGAAATCATTGATACATGTCTGGGCTAAACTATTGTGAAAACGACGGATATTTATTTCATTTAACATATTGAAATCAAAACGATCAATCTAAAATTTTGAATTGTATTTGTAATTCACGTTAAAGAACTAAGCTAAGAGCATTTTGAATATTTCACTTTCTCAACCAGTCTTGCGATGGATATTTCGAGCACTCAATTTACGTTTACTAATGAGTCACGAACATTTATTTCGAGAGCGAGATGTACCATTTTCCGACGAATTCGATTTTCAGCAGTTGTAACTCGTCAAAATTTTTATTTTGTCTTGTCATACGAATGATCTTATAAGACAAACATAAATTTTCTCTCCTTTTTATCACAATGTTTTTCTTCTAGTTGTACTCGAAAAAGAGGAACAAAAAATAACACTCATCAATTGTGAGGCAAGGAAAAAGAAAAAAAAAGGATATGCAACGGAAATTCAGTCTAATATATTTAGCCTATTACCCTCTGAAAAAGAGAAAAATAATCGTTATGCGAGTAACAGCGAGAGAAAGAGAGAGAGAGAGAACGAAATATTCAGCTGATTAGTAATATTAATATAAATGAAAGAAGAATGATGAATTTTCAGTTTGTGGTTTGAATAAATATAACTATCAGATTTAATTCCCTAACACGATAATTTATTAAAAACAACCAAAAAGAAACAGAAAAAATATCGGAATAGCTACTCTATCTGTAGAATAAATTGATCTATCAAATATAAATAAATAGCAGAATGAAAATTTTTTTTCGTTAATGTTCCAAAAGCAGAATAACGATTGTTTGTTAACACTGATTCCAGGAAGATAAAAACACATTTAATGTTTACTCAAAAATGAAACATGTTATTGATACAGTAGGTCCCATCTTATGATTACGAGTAATTAAAAAAATCTAGTGATAATAAATAAAATTTGTCTTACAATTGAAAAATTATAATAACATCAAAATCGTTTGAAAAATTTTGAAACTAACGGGTAGATTTTACACATTTGATCGGCACTTATCCATAAACTATTGCTCCTTGTAGTATTGTTATGACTGTTTCTATCATTCTAAAGTGTAGAATCATATTTTTAAATAAAATTTTTATTTGATTATCAACGGTCTTACTTTTTTCTTTTAAAATGTTTGCATTTAATATGATACAAACTTTCCAAACTATGATGGAACGTGTGATACATTATGCGACTAGAGTTATACAACTAATTATTTTTGTTTTAGTGTTATTTTCAATGTCAATCAATATATTTGATGGACAAATGTCGAAGAATTGGTATTAATAATGAATAATAATGAAGAAAATACAATTGTTTTTGTTGATGAATGTTACGGCGTATAATCAAAGTTAATAATAATAACGTACACACTCAACATTACTCACTATTATAAAAGAATTATTATGGTATGATTTATTCAAACGAATGTTTTATACTATTTTAATTGTTATTTTAATACAACCTACATGTTTGTTATCCGTAGATGTAGATAATAAGAGAGAAGAAATGTTAAATAATAACTATTCTCATATATTATCATCAAAAGATATTGACAAATATTTTACTTTGGTGACAACAATCGATAAACCAATTAGTTTAAAAAAATATTATGGTATGCAAGATTTATCAATCAATTATTATCCTGGTACAATAAATATTATTTTATCTGTTCCACACGATGGTGATTTAAAATCAAATTTAAATACTCGTCCATTGGGTGGTTGCAAAAAACAAAATTCATCATCAACAAAATGTATTTATCAACATCCATGTCCAATGGCATATAAAATGAATCAAATTGATTGTCCTATATCAAGAGGTCGTGATACAAATACACGTTTATTAGCATTAGCATTAAGATATGAATTAAATAAATTGATAAATTTAAAACCATTTGTTATTATAAATCGTATTCAACGATTAAAAGTTGATATGAATCGATTTATAGATGAAGCAACATTTGGCTATGGAGAAAATATGAAAGCGTGGATGCTCTATCATTTTTATATTCAACATGCACGAGAATTAATTGTTCGAAATATTGGTAAAGGTATTCTATTTGATATTCATTCTCAAAGTCATATTGAAGGTTGGGTAGAAATTGGCTACTTAATAACAAGTGAACAGTTAAAAAATGGTAAATATTCATTTAGAAAATCGACATTAACATCGACACTACCATTTAATGAAACGGAATTAATTACCGGTTACAAATCATTAGGATATTTCATTGAAAAATATAATTATCCAGCAACACCGTCGCCTAGTCATCCCAAACCTCCATATTCATCCTATTATGAATGGGGTTATATCATCGATGAATATGGGGCGAGATTACGTACAGATAATTTTAGTGCAATTATGATTGAATCTCCATCAAAGCAATTATTAAATAAAACACGTCTATTTTTCTATGCAAAATCGTTAGCAAAAGCTCTAGCAGACTATTTAATTGAATTGAATATTATCGAAGAATTTTCAGAAAATATTAAAATGAATCGCCGAGTTGTTTCGTATAAAACAACAATTATTAGTGAAATCAATGGTAAACATAATTCAACAGATAATTATTCCACATCTACGTCGCCGTATTCCAGCGAACAATCTCAAAATGGAGGCAATGTAATTTATGATAGTTTAATAACACAATCTGTCGATTCTCAACGCAACAATAACAATAGTTTATACCGAAATCGAAAAAATCACAGTATAATAGTCAGTTCTAAATCCCACTTTGTTTCATTATCGATCCTTTTTTTTATTTTTTGTTTACAAAATCATAGGAAAATTACATGATGAGCTTTTTATTGTCATTAATTTTAGTTTATTCATCTTCTACAAGAAGAAAGGAAGAAATATCTTGTCTTGCGGCTATCATTGCATCGGTGCTGCCAAATAACAGTTTCAATAGACCGATATTCCCCTACAGTTAGTTGATAAGCTTGTGACATGATCGTTACGCATCTGGTTATTAGTCATCAACTACAGCTCTAGACAGAAAGCTAGCTTGATATAAAGTTCTTTTTGCGCAATTACTTGACCTATACACACTCACTAGCCACATGTCTGCTTTCCGGAAAGCTATGCGAACTAGATAGAGGAGCTATATTGTATGTCACAACGTAGTAAGTCTGCTGTACGCTAAGACAAAATACTATTGAAGGACTTCTCATTTACCTGCATTGTTCAAGAACAAAGGGTTGAAAAGCAATTGCGATAAGACAGTGTATTTTTTTGATTTTGGTGATAAAAGAACACAGTCGTCTAAAAGTTGTTAAACAATCAATATTTGTTTGATGATAAATTAAGTCAGATGAACAAAACTCTTGACAGTAGCGTGTCAGAATCCCAAAAGCTAATCGAGTTTTAATTACATTTTATATTTTAGAAAAAATTTTTCACTATTGTGTTTGTAATCTTACGTAGGTTCGATAAGACGGATTATAAAGCGTGATAAAAATAACTCATTCATTTTTAATAATAATTCCTATAAAAATATAAATATGAGTGATTTGTATAACTGATATTGGAAAAAATGAGTTGAATGACAAATTTTATGTGTTATTTTATAAAACTATCTTCAGAAAACACGGAAAAAATATTCCCAATAATCATTTCTTCAGACGAGGAGGTTTTGTTGAAAATCGACAATTGGCTGCGGTATTTGGCTAAAAAGCGAGTTTGATGTAATAAAGCCAAACTGTATGTACCATAAATTTCCTTAAGGAGATTCTGTTGAAACATACGCTGAGATACGAGAACATAGCACGCCCATTAATACTGCGAATAAGTCATTTTTATCTGCATACATTAATACACATGATGCTTCAAGTTTAACTCAATCATATACTGTAGTAAAATCCCTAGGAGTTTCCTGACAGGATCCGAGACATATACTACCAATATCCTACTGGAATTTTGCTTTAATTTCTTAGGATCCTAACAAAATCCTACAGAATCCTATTGAAACCCGAAATTCATCGGATTTTCTAAGATCCTATTACGATCCTGAACAAACTTAAGCGAAATCCTGGTAGGATTCTAGCATTTTAAGATCCTGCTTGGAAGTTATTAGGCGGATCCTAAATGTTAGAATCCTGCAAGATCCTACTAAGAAATAGACGGAAAGTGCGTAAAATTTTGTCTAGGGTAATGAAGAGTTGGTTTATACATGATAAGTATGGATTTTATCAAGTTTAGATCAAAGTATTTACGAGGCGATCTTAAAAAATACGTTTTGACAGCAGCGAAGCACTTTCTAAAACTGAAATTCTTCCTGCAGGTACATCTTCACAGATAAAAAAAATCGAAAAAAAATTAGTGTTCTAGCTTAAATATGCATGAAGAAATTAAGGACGTGATTTTAAAACATCTCAATGGACATTTAGTGTAAAAATATCTTTTTCATTTATCAATGGTAGTTTCGTATTTTGCTATTTGACTTGGAAATTTTTGTTTTAAGGTTTCAGTCCTCTTAAAAATGATAATTTTCATCAATGTCAGAGAGAGTGTCAAGCTTCTAGGGGTATGACAGTTCCATATCAACTCCTATCATAGGAACTGTTGAAAAGTTCTTTCGAACGGAACTGATATGTTCGAACAGATCTTTTGAAAGGAGCTGATATGTTTGAACAGTTCTATTGAAAGGAACTGATGTGTTTGAACAGTTCTATTGAAAGGAGCTGATATGTTCGAGCAGCTGACTAGTCGTCTAGACAAAGTTTAAACGTCCCGAATGTTCATTAGACGTTCATATCAGCGAAGTCTTGCAATCATAAATAGAAGCATGTAAAATGGTCAATTTTTTATTCCTCAGATAAGTATGGTTAAAAAGTAAAATAAAAGAAGTATGATCTTTGTAAGAAAAGCAGACTAAAGAAAA